TATATATATATATATATATATATATATATATATATATATTAAGTGTTATTTTGATTTTAACATTCCCAGTTCATCATCCCCGTGAAGGATATTCAAACAACAACAACAACAACAACAATCAAACGTGCCGGGTACTCGTGACCAATCCCCTGTTTTATGTAATGGGGTGATCAACGTCCATCGGTCACTGGCTACTTGTGATGCATTGATTGCATCAGTCTACCTGGTTGATCGCCATTCACCTTACCGAATACTCATCACCCCGAAGTGTGTTTGTGAAAATACACTTTTGTGCACACTCAGAAGCCGTTGTCCTCGGTCGCTCTAACTTTTTGCCTACGATCAGTTCAGTGTGGTGAGCCTAGCTTACGGGATAACGACAGCCAAGCGCCTACGCGTTACAGTTTCGTTTCAGATTTCGTGNCACGCTGTGGTTGCATAGATCAAATCTTCATCGCCACACATACAGACGACAAACTATCGTCGTGTGTTTTTTTGGACATCAGAGCTGCCTTCGACTCGCACTGTAGAACTGTTCACGGAGAGACGGAATACCCGAGAAGTATGTTCCACTTCTAATGGCACTCGGGTGAGGTTAGGGCCTATGGTGATCTTTCAGTCATTTCCTGTCATTAGTGGGGTACGACAGAGCTGTCCTATATCTCCGTTTCTCTTCAACTTTGCCATAGATGACATTCTACTAAAAGTGCTACATAACGTAGCGAACACTGGCTTCGAGCTTCTTCCCGGAGACAGAGTCGTAGACTTAGAGTATACCGATGATATTGCCTTACTGGGTGACAACGCACCAACGAATTAAAAGTCATTGAATCGGTTGGCAATTGAGGTTGTTGCAAGATTGGCAGTAACCAGTTCCTGAACTCTGTAAGCAGTCGAAATCTTTGTCCACCTTGGGGGTTGCATAACGGCTGGTGAAGGTGTGAGCGAGGAGACTTCTCAATGCGTGATCAAAGCTAGATTAGCGCTTGCTAATCTACGGCATCTCTGACACCGATGCGACGTATTCTTTCCACTAAAAAGCGTGTGTATTGTGCAACAATACGCGTTGTGTTGCTAAATGGCTGCAAAACGGGGCCTCTCCGAGCAAATCCTGTCCGCGCTACACCAACCGAGCATTGTTTGAAGAATGATGAGGTCAGATGACTTGTGTAGTAAGTAGGATTAGATTGTCTTACTTCAGACAAAACCATTTTACCGCATAAATTTAGCTGGCTAGATCACGTTCTACGAATGCGTGAGCAATGTCTGTCATACCGTGCACTATTTGCAGACATTCGTCCGGGGGCTGGAAGAAACAGCGAGGTTGGAGAGTTGTGGCATGGTGTAGAGGGTTAAACGGAGCTTTCCGGACTTCCCGGCTAGGGTCCAAAACATTCATATTGTCTTTGACCGGATACACTGCGGGATTTGGCACCGAACCAAAGTCAGTGGTGTGAATGTCTCCTTGTTTTTCGATGCAATTCTAAAAATAGATTGTTATTCCCAAATTTGACTGTTTCGTGTTTTTACCCTTTTCTGTTTCTATATTCTTTTTTAATTTTTTTAGGAAAACGAGGGAAGCGGCCAATCAAAGGGCTGCCACATAACACACAGAATGAGGAAAGTCAGGCGGCGGTGGTGGTGAGATTCGAACACACACACACACACATCACCCCGGGGGGTGATAATTTGGTGACGTTATCACCGGGCCACCACCGCCCGTTAAACCCGTGATTATTTTGGTGCCGTATCTGTAAAGAGTGGTGTTAAATAAACTTAGATTTCTCGGACAGTGTATCATAAGAAAATTGTTCTGCCTGAGTTTTCCAGTGCATTTAATAGTTAATTTGCATTTCTGAACCTCATAATGCCTCACTTTTTCCCCGTATTATCAAAAGTGGTTACATTTTTTGGATGAAAAAGTGTATATATAATAATTAGCTGAAGTTTCAATACAATACAATACAATGTAATACAATATTACACGGTAGCAAGCTTGGATTAGCCCATCGGATTGTTAAGAGGCACCAGGCAAATTTTTACTAACGAAACAACAATAGCTTGTTAATAAAACAAAATTTCATGAAGAAAATCGAGCAACCAGTGGTACAATAAATGCGAATGTCACACTGCGTGTTATTTCAAACTTCAACAGTCCCAGTTCGTTATCTCCGTGACAAGTATTCAACCACCACCACCACCAAAAACAATAACAATACCGATAATAATAATAATAACAATAATAAAAGCACCACCATCAGCAATATCGCCACCATCCACTACCACCCATCAGTAACAAAACCAACAAGAAATACGTGGATAGTTAGTATACGGGTGCTATGCATACGATCAACAATACCTTTATCCAGATCTTCCATACTGAACTGGATCGTTGTCATGAGGACATGTTTGTTCTCCTGACGACGATCTGTATGAACAAAAAGTAAAATAGAGCACAATTTCTAGTCTGGACCGTAAAACAATGATTAAGAAGAAATTTTTAACAGACAACCCGAAGTAGTTCTGTGGATCAATATGAAATCTTTCGACAAAAAGCCTGAGAGGATAACCATGGAGTGGTAAATCAAATGGCAGACAAAGCACGAGAAAATGAATTTCTATGTTGCATACAACGGCACCCTCGGATATCGAAGATGTGCGATGTAAAATGTCAGCTTCCTAACTTTAAGAAATGTCTATTGTTATTTGTACGACCAGTGGAGGTTGGCAGACAGAAAACAATAAAGGTATTTGAAGTGTTATGACCTTACACCGTTCAAATTATTGATCAAGATGTTAGGAACATATGAGCTGGAAAGTGTTGATGGCCTACGATCAGTGGAAGACAAAACTTCAGTGCATTTGGTTTGGTTTAAAGGTTAAAGGTTAGTACCTGAGGAAATATAGCCATTCGGAAGATGGGCCGTGGTGACACCATACCGTACTCGGAATCTCCGAGTTGTTATTTTAATGACTTTAACCACTTACCCACCGCCGCATAACATAGCTTTCCCAGATTGCTGTAAACTCCTGAGTATTGTCATCTACAGAATTACTCAAACTGCTAGATTGTATAGTAGTTGCAGGTGTCATGCCGATGTCAGCTGAAACCGATCGATATATCTATTTTCCATAACCCGGTGTGAACCATAATCCGTACAGTCATTATCCGTCATCACTTTAGTAACTGTTCATATCGATTGTTTTCATTCCATAATAACTTGACTCAGCTTTGATGCACAAGCACAGTCTCTGATTTAGCTTTTCCGAGACACATAATCAATTTTCGGACATCCTCAATATTGCGATATTTGGATGATGAATTCGTCGTGTAAATGAGGCGTGAACTGAAAAGCTAGGAAGCACAGCTGGACAGCATCTGTTTCGAATTGGTTGGATCGCATCAACGGGGCTACCCCCAAGCTGGGAATCACGAACCCAGGACCTCATCACATGTAGAACGCAAGCATACTATCCACTCGGTCACCGCGGGGGTAGTTGATCAGACTGTTTCTCATTTTGAATATACACGACATAATGTTCTGCCTGTGAGGTCCTGGGTTCGGTCCTCAGTTGGGTCGAAGACAAATTCATCATTTAATCAAATAAAATCCACCATGTCTATCATACTGTGATATTTACTTGATCATCACAATGGCCATTTGGGATTTTTCACTTTATAATTTTCGAGCTAAGCCTAATTTCGGGCTCTTCTTCAGAAACACACTTCATACTTAATCAACCCCATTGGTCTGCCTGCGTCCCCCTCACACTCCTACCCAGAACGTTTGGTAATTGAACGATCGATTGGACAACCTGTGTCTTATGGTGAGTCATCAAGAATGATCTATCCCTTTGTAGTAGTTGATCTTCTAGGGCTTTGTGTTGACTATTTCTTAGTTGAGAATATGTACTTGTGCTTTATATGTGAACTAACCACCACTTTAACAGGCATTGTCGAAGTGAGATTATGTTGTCTTTCCGCTCTATGAAGACCATAGTTTGTCAGTCCGTAAGCGTCGGTTCAGTCGAGTTATGATCATGTAAACTGGGCTCCCTCAGTTGTTCCCAGAAGAGATCTCCCCTGTCTGTGTTGCGGTCCGCGTATGCATGCACGCGGGACTAAATAAACGGTTGCGCAGTTACTTGTGCAGTAGTGCCGGGTTCAACTTACCACTACTGATTGCGTTGTCAGTAGTAAAACTCAGATTTCGACTTTAGCCGTTGTGAATCACTATTTCGGTAGCCCAGACACGTAAAATGTAGTGGTGATACACCTTCCGTGAGCATTGTTCAAACAAGCGCACCCCAAGCCCAAATTGTCATATCGCATGGCTAAGGCAACTGTTCAATGAGATATCTGAATCGGCTTTCCAGGATAGCAAAAACTGTGCTCTACCCCTTCCCAATAGATGAGTTTATTATCTGTGTTTATTTAAAAAAGTTATGCATTATTGATTTTTTCCATTCATAAAAAAACTGTTAACAAATACATTCAATGACATTTAAGGTAGGATACTTTACATTCATAGGATGGGATCTGAGCCGGCAAGTTGAGCTCATTGATTCACTAAAATCCCCTTCCAAAATGATCAGGAAATTGATGAAGGAAAACTCGTTTTTGGATTTTTCTCTCCTAATTGTTCAACTGTATTTCAGTGAAAACTTCATTCCATGTCAATCGGTTCTATGATGCACGCCATTTCGCCACATTGTTTTCTACGCGATAACCGCGACCAAATATATGGATTATAGTAGTACCACTGAACATACGAATTTCCACACCATAAAGATTTCTATTCCATTGGTGCTTGCCCCTCCCCCATCCACGTCCCCAAGAAGCATTTACATACCGGTGAGAAGTGCACGTCCAGCACTCTGCATAGACATTTGACTCCGTCTATACTGACTCACAACGGAAGCGGAACGACTCCCGTGCAGTCTGACCACATCCGGGTTCGATTCCCCATGGACTGATTGATTCACAACGATCTGCTGTGCGGACTTTTTGGAATCCGAACTACTTGGTCCGTCTGTGGCGTCAGCGATAGGTGCCAGTTTGTGTCTGGTCATGAAACCGGATTCTTTTCGTTTGGTAACAATCTCTTTGTTTTTACCGGTCCTCGCGGATTGGGTCATGTGATCTGGTTGGTCAAACGGTTCCGTTAAAAGGGGACGAAACGGGTGAGGGAAAGATAGAGATAGAAAATATCTCCTTGAAAAAATGTAGACCTTTTATGCTCAATATCCTGTGAATTTTCAAGTATTGAGAAGACTGGATTTTGAAATCCTGTACTCATTAAATGTTAAAATAGTTTCCAAGTTTAAAAAAATCTTAATAGAGGAAGAGCAAGACTTGTGGCCCAACACGTGGCTGGTATGTTTGTCGCGCCTGCCTGTGGCCGGACTAATTGATTGATTGATCGATTGATTGGTAGATGCTATCCGCTACCACAAGCACGCACGCACGCCATACGGACTGACTCTCCTACAATATCGATCGGCTCCAGTCAATCAGACTGCTCCCACGCTGACTGATTCGCTGACTGTTTGAATGTCCGCTTGACGCTATTCGTATGTCACGTGACGCTTGAGCCAGTTTTTCGGTCTGTCTGTCTACGTGTTGCCCCGCTCCTGCTTGCTCACCGGTTTATGGACCGGCTACACATATGCCCTCTCCAATAAACGTATTGCATGATTCATTTTAGAGTATCAAGCTTGGATTAGCCCAGTCGGTTGTTCAGCGGACCCAGGCACTCTCAATGGTCTTGGGTGTGGATTTCACTCCTCGGGAGATCGTTGATTCCTCACGAGGTAATCGCATTCAAATGAGATGGAAATATTTGTGATAGCCGACTAAGAGCACTGGATAGCTGTTTCGTCTGACTTGGGACTAGTCAGTAGTGCGCACTGTTTGTGTGAGTCATTCAAAAGAAATTACTGGGCTGAAATAAAACTGCCAAGTGGCTGTCATCAGTCAGTCATTGCTAAAATGCATCTGAGATTGGCTTCCATAGTCACCAAGGTCAGCTATTTGCAGTACCTGTATGTTGTCCGTCTATCATAGGTAGAATGAAAGAAACTGAGAAATAGAAAGTTGGAAAACTGTGCATACATTTTCATTTCGTTGGGTGTCCGGACTTTATAGCACGAACTCCCA